GGAAGGACCGTGGTGCACTACTAAAAATTTATACAGTCAGTCTTCCTCCCCTCCTTCCCCAGAGGGACCTAAGGACTTTTTCCTGGGGGAAGAGAAATGACCAGACATTTGGGGGACTATCGGACATTGGATCTGAACTAACACTGATTCCAGGGGATCCCAAACATCACTGTGGCCCTCCAGTAAGAGTAGCGGCCTATGGAGGTCAGGTGATCAATGGAATTTTAGCAGAGGTCCGACTCATAGTGGGTCCAGTGGGTCCTCGAATCCATCCCATAGTCATTTACCCTGTTCCAGAATGCATAATTGGGATGGATATACTTGGTACTTGGCAGAATCCTCACACTGGTTCCCTAACCTGTAGTGTCAGGGCTCTTATAGTTGGAAAGGCCAAATGGAAGCCATTAGACTTGCCTTTACCTGGTGAAACTGTAAACAAAAAGAACAGCATCCTGAAGGAATTGCAGAGATTAGTGCCTCTGTTAAGGACTTGAAGGATGCAGCATGGTGGTCCCCACCACATCGCCGTTTAATTCTCCCACTTGGCCTGTGCAGAAAATGGATGGATCTTGGAGAATGACGGTAGATTACTGTAAACTGAATCAAGTTGTGGTTCTCGATTGCAGCTACTGTACCAGATGTGGTTTCCTTGTTTGAGCAGACTAACATCTCCTGGTACTTGATGTGCAGCTATTGATTTGGCAAATGCTTTCTTCTCTATACCTACCCATAAAGAAATAATTTGCTTTCAGCTGGCAAGGCCAGCCATTCACCTTCACTGTCCTACCTCAGGGTTATACTAACGGCAGCCCTGTGTCACAACTTAGTTTGCAGGGTTCTTGATCTCCTTTCTGTCCCACAAGGTATCGCATTGGTCTTACATTGATAACATTATGCTGTTTGGACCAAGTGAGCAGGAGGGAGCAACCACTGTAGGTTTGTTAGTGAAGCATTTGAAAACAAAGGATGGGAAGTAAATTCAATCAAAATTTAAGGCTCTTCTACATCAGTGGAAATTCTAGGAGTCCAGTGGTGTGGGGCACGTAGAGATATTCTTTCTAAGGTAAAAGATAAATTGTCAGCCAGGCGTGGTGGCACATGCCTGTAATCCCAGAACTCGGGAGGCTGAGGCAGGAGGATCACTATGAGTTTGAGACCAGCCTGGGCTACATGGTGAGTTCCAGGGAAGTCTGAACTACATAGTGAGACTCTGTCAAAAAAAAAAAAAAAAAAAAAAAAAAAAAGATAAATTGTCACATGTGACTCTCTTTACAACCTTAAAAGAGACACAATGCCCCTGCAGGCCCTCATAAATGAACTGCAGCAGTGGCCTTTAGGATTTTGGAACAAGGCTCTGCCATCATCTGCAGACAGCCACTCTCCTTTTGAAAACAGCTCTTGGCCTGCAACTGGGCCTTAGTGGAAACTGAACACTCGGGACGCCAGGTTACCATGTGACCCAAGTAGCCCATCATAGCTGGATATTATCTGATTCACTAAGTCATAAAGTTGGATGCTCACAGCAACAGTCCACCATTAAATGGAAATGGTCTTATGTGATTGAACCAGTGCAGGTCCAGAGGGCACAAGTAAATTATATGAAGAAGTTGCCCGCATGCCCATGGCTCCTGGGAGTGCATTTTGCCTGGAAGGAGAAATGGCCAGACATGTGACTGTGTACTGATTCATGGGCTGTAGCCAGTGGCCTGGCCGGATAGTCAGGAACTTGGAAGAAAAATTAGTGACAAAAATATTTGGGGAAGAGGTATGTGGGCAGATCTCTCCATATGGGCAAGGGATATAAAAAATTGGTAACCCATATAAATGCTCACCAAAAAATGACATCAGCAGAAGAGGACAATCAACCAGGTAGGATGACCCATTCTATAGACAGTGGCCAACCTCTTTCTTCAGCCATCCCTGTCATAGCTCAATGGGTTCATGAAAAGAATGCCCAGGAGGCAGGGATGGGTGATATGCAGAGGGGAAGGTCAGCACCATGGTCTCCCACTCACCAAGGCTGATAATATGCCAGCAGCAGAAATCAACGCTGAGTCCCCGATATGGCACCATTCCCTGGGTGGTCAACCTGTGACCTGGTGGCATGTTGATTATATTGGACCACTTCCATCATGGAAAGGACGGCACTTTGTTCTTACTGGCATAGACAGTTATTCAGGAAACGGATTTGCCTTCCCTGCATATAATGCTTCTGTCAAAACTACCACCTATGGACTTACAGAATGCCTTATCCACCGTCATGGAATTTCACGCAGCATTCCCTCTGACCAAGGAACACATTTGATGGCCAAAGAAGTAAGGCAGTGGGCTCGTGTTCATGGAATTCACTGGTCTTACCATGCTCCTCACCAGCCAGAAGTGGCTGTATTGACAGAAAGGTGGAATGATCTTTTGAAGACACAGTTACAGCACCATCTAGGTGACAATGCCTTTCAGAACTGGGACAAGGCTCTTCAAAGGGCTGTACATGCTTTGAATCAATGTCTACAATATGGTACTGTGTCTCCCACAGCCAGGATTCACACGTCCAGGAATCAAGGGATGGAAGTGGGAATAACACCATTCACCATTTATTCTAGTGATCCACTAGCAAAATTTTTGCTTCCAGTTCCCATGATCCTATTCTCTTAGAAGTCTTACTTCCAGAGGAGGGAAGACCTGTACCAGGAAGCACAACAATGATATTTTTGAATTGGAAGCTAAGACTCCCCCCTGGTCATTTTGATCTCCTCATGCCTCTGAGTAAACAAGCTAAAAAGGGAGTTACAGTGTTGGTAGGGGTGACTGACCAAGACTATGAAGGGGAAATTGGACTATTATTCCACAGTGGAGGAAAGGAAGAATATACTTCAAATGCAGGAGATCCCTTAAGGTGTCTCCTAGTGTTATCATGCCCTGTTATTAAAGTCAATGAGAAACTATGACACTCCGATCCAGACAAGATGACAAATGGTGCAGAACCTTCAGGAATAAAGGTATGGGTAAGAACCAAGTGCTGCTGAGGTGCTTGCTAAAGTCCCAGGGGAGACAGAATGGATAGTAGAAAAAAGTAGTTCTAAATATCACCTACAATCTCCGGATCAGTTACAGAAATGACGATTATGATTGTGATTGTAATAGTTCTCTCCTAATATACTTCCTATGTAGTATGTATTTTTGGTTTGTTTTTCTTGAGACAGGGTCTCTCTTATATAGTTGAGACTTCCCTGGAACTCACTATGTAGCCCAGGCTGGTTTTGAACTCATAGTGATCCTCCTGCCTATGTAATACATTGATAGAGTTAATATTGGCTCTTAAGCATTGTTAAACCTATGTTACAATGTTCAAGTTATGAAATGTTTGGAGTAAGCATCACCCAAAGAAATCTTGCCTTATACTCTGGGAGGGAATTAGTACATTTCCGTTTGTACACAGGATAGTTGTAACATAGTCACATAATTACGAACTTGTCTTTGCATCTGGAGACCATGGTTTAAGGAAATGTGTCTGGTTGTCAAGTTGACAAGGGGTGGATTTTGATAGTTAACTGACTGTGTCAACTTGAGTAAGAAACACCCAACTAAACTGGATCAACATAGTTCTGGATGTGGCTGAAGGGATTCACTAAAGACAGAAGGTTCACCCTGGATGTGAGTGACAGAAACCAACAGGCTTGTGGCCTGAAAGGAATAAGAGAAATGAAGGACGCATCGCTTCTGTTTCTTCGGAGGAGCTCCTGTCTTCACCTTCACCTTGGATGTCATCTCCTGGCTTCCAGCACAGACTTTAGCCTCCTGATGTGGACTTGCACGGGACAGGGAGCTCCAAGGCTTTGACTGTACCCTTCGGATCTCCAGCGCGGACAGACCTTTTTCATTCTCCATATCTGACGCTGCAGGTGGCCATTGTAAGCCCATCTTGTAAATTTGTGTATATCTTTCATTAAATCTGTTTCTCTAGTAAGTACTGACTGAAACATTCCTCCACACTGGGTTTCTAAATTTTTGTGTTCAGACTGGAACTATACCACTGGCTTTTCTGAGTCTCTAGCTAGCAGGTGGCAGTCGGTGGGACTTCATAATTGCCTGACTCAATTCTTCACAATCACTCTCAATAGACTTGCACATCCAGTTGATTCTCTTTTTCTGGAATTAACTAACCCAGTGGCTCAGAAAAATTTTGCTATATTCACACCTTTTTAATTTGCTTACATCTAGGTCTTGGTAACATGACAGAAGCATGATATCAATTCTTCACATCATCAACCAGTTGATACCGAATGCTAGATTTGTAAATAACTTTTTTTTTCTTGCGTTGCTGGGGGTGGAATCTGGGGCCTGTGCATGCTAGCCAAGCACTCTATACAGAGCTACACCCCAGCCTTTTTGTTTTTATTATAAGACAAGTTCTTGCTAAGTTGTCCAGGCTGGGTTTAAATTAGTGATCCTTCTGTCTCAGCCTCCCAAGTAGCTGGGATTAAAGGCATGTACCTCCATGCCTGGCTGGGAAAAGTTTAATAAGGTTTAATATTTTTCAGTGAGCATTTGAAAATACTTTAGTTTTATTTAAACCATTTTGATTAAAAGTTTTAATATTCATGAACTTAAACTTGTATCTGTACCCTTTCATTTTATTTTTTATTTTATGTATGTATGTAGTTATTTATTTATTTTGGTACTGGGGATTGAACTCGGGACCTTAAACTTGTGAGGCAGGTGGTGGAACCACTGAGCTAAATCCCCGGCCCAACACCCTTTAATTTTAAAGTGTTGCTGATTCATAATATTTTAGAAGAGAAATAATTTCATGAAAATATATTTTTTTCAGTGTTGAGGGCCAAACCCAGGGCTCCACAGCTCACAATGCTGTGTGCCCAAGAGTTCCCTAGCAAGCTGCCCAACCAAAAGGATTTGCACCACCGTGACGTGGGTCTGTGCCAGAGGCCATTGGCAGGTGCAGGGCCGTCCCTCTGCCCCGCTGGATCACAGCTTCAGCTTACCTCAACCATCCTGGCTACGGCATCTCTATGTCTGAGCCGATCAGGGTCCACGCGGGGCGGTGCGTCCACAATGGTGTGTGAGAGCAGATGTCTTCAACACCGTGTGTGCCAAAAGGCCAATGGCTGGTGGCAAGTCCGCCGAGCACAGCAGAGTCTGTCCTGTGACGCGAAGGTCTGCGAGGGTCTCTGGTGAGCAGGCAGTTTGGGTCTGTGCTTCCCAGCGCTTCCCAGCAACAACGTGTAACTGGCACGTTTCCAGCAGAAAATGAAAGGCAAACATGAAAAAGTCTAGAAATAAAATTGGTAAGAGCCGCCCCATGACTCCTCCCCAAATCCTCATACTTGCTAAGCACATGCTCTACACACACTGAGCTAAACCCCTAGCCCATAAAAATACTTCTGATTTATAATATTTTTGCCTTAATATGTATTTTTGATGAAAGTATGTTTAAATTTATACAACTGCATTTTATTTTTTAGCCCTTTAGACCATTAGTGACAGTAGATATTATGTAACATACACTTATTTATCTACCTATTTATTTAGTAACACTGAGGGTGAAATCACAGCTTTTGCTCTGAGCTACATCCCAGATCTTTTTTTTTTTTCTTCTTCTTTTCTTTTCGATTTTGAGACAGTATCTTGTTAAATTGCTAAGTTACCCCAGGTTGGGCTTGAGTTTGTAATCCTCCTGCCTCACCCTCCAACGGTGTATGTGCCACATCTGGCTTGTGAAAAAAATCTTTATTATCACATTTGTGTACCATAGTTTTTGCTAAAAAAGGGAAGAAAAATTAATTCTGTCTGCTTAAAATGTATCATTTAAATAAAATGTACCTATTAAGTGCATGTGTTTTTATTTCACATCCAAACTGTGCCCAACCAGCAACACACCTTGACATATAAAATAATGAAATTCAGTCATCTTTGATATTTGGCCTATTTCACACATACTAAGAGCTGAATCCTGTAAAACCTGACATTTTTGTTAGCACCTGTCAAGTGTCCATACTTATCACCTGTATTAACTACTTATAGCTCAGCATAGTAGCAAGCGTTTTATACAAAATATCTTTTTAAAGCAAAACATTTATTGATACATTTTAGATATACACAATGATCACATTTATCATAGAAAATTCATACCTGTACATGATGTGCCTTGCTTCTTCTTTTTCCCCATCCCCCCTTGACCCCTCTTCCTCACCTTATTTGTAAGAGCTTTGTTTCCATTTTTTCCTTCTATTCTTTTTTTCTTGTACTTTCTTTCCTCCCCTCTCCCTTGTTCCCCTTCTCATTTGAACATTTTCTCCCTATTTCCCAACATCTGTTATACATTTTAGTCCTTATTTCCACTTTTGGTTTCTCACAACAGAGAAACAATGTGATTTTTAAACATGTGTGTCCAATTTATTTCATTTAGGGGTATGGTCTCAAAGTCCATCCGTTTAGCTTAGAAGTATCTCAAGCTCAACCTTCTTTATGGCATAGTAGTACTCCACTGTATTAAAAAATACATGTGATTTTTAAACATGTGTGTCCAATTTATTTCATTTAGGGGTATGGTCTCAAAGTCCATCCGTTTAGCTTAGAAGTATCTCAAGCCCAACCTTCTTTATGGCATAGTAGTACTCCACTGTATTAAAAAACACATCTTATGCTCGCTTTGGCAGCACATATACAAAAACCCCACATCTTTATTCATTCGTTGGTTGATGGTCACTCAGGCTGTTTCTAAGATTTAGCTATTACACACTGTGCTATTATAAAATGGGTGTGGATATATCACTGTGGTATGATGCTTTTAATCCTTTTGGGAGGATGCCAAGAAGGGGAATACATGGGTCAAATGGAACCTCTAGTTTTAGTGTTTTGAGGAATTTCCACACTGATTTCCAGCAATTGTACCAGTCTACACTCCGACCAACAGTGGAGAAGGGTTCTTTTCCCCCTATAACCTCTCCAGCATTTGTTAATGGTTGATTTCTTGTTAACAGCCATTCCTTCTGGAGTGAGATGGAATCTCAGAGTTGTTTTCATTTGCATCTCTCCAATGACCAGTGATGTTGAATATTTTTTTCATATATTTATTAGCTGTTTCTTCTTCATCTGAGAAGCGTCTGTTCATTTCTGATGCCCATTTTTGGATTGGGCTTTTTCATTTTGGGGGAGGTCTGATTTTTTTTTAGTTCTTTATATAGTCTAGATAGTGGTCCTTTCTCTGAGGAGAGCTAGCAAAGAATTTCCCCCACACTATGGGTTGTTTCTTCACTCTGTTGGTTCTCTTGCTGGTACACAAGGTATCTTACCACTCAGAATACTCCTGAAACATTGATTTCCTCATTTCAAAGATAAGGATAAACTAAATTTCAGAGATTAGATAGCAGTTAGCTCGGTGTGGTGGTGCACACCTGTAATCCCAGCACTCTGGGTGACTCAGACGGGAGTATTGCAACCAAAGGCCCTGAGTTCAATCCCCAGTACTAAAAAAAAAAAACCAACCAACCAACCAAACAAACAAACAAAAAACCAAAAAAGATTAGGCAGAAAGAATGCTCCAGCTCTTAGATTCATCCTGAAATCCTTCTGGGTCCCTTCTCTTTCCCTTCTGCCTGGACTAATTGCATATTTGTGAGATACGGAGTACAGAGTCCCAGTGAGATCAAATCATTATTTAATAAGTGTTTGTCTGGCCCCCATCAGTAGACAGGCTGCTCTCCGAGTGCATGAGGAATTCTGCAAATGTCAGCCTGCTCCTGCCAAAAACATAAAATAACAAAGAAAAGCAATGAAAGCAGTCATAGTTATGATCCTGTTGCTATGAGAATACTCATTAAGGTTGGAGAACAGCCCAAAATACTGCATTTAACAGCTTGTTAGTGTCACATATGATTCACACTTCTGGTGCATGGCCGTGTGCTCTTATTGGTCTCAGCCACCTTAAGTGGCAGGAAGGAAGCCAGAGGCCTTGGAGAAGGGAGGATGAAAAGAGCTTTGTTAAAGCTTCAGAGAAGGGCCAGAGTGGTGGCACATGCCTGTAATCCCAGCACTCAGGAGGCTGAGGAAAGAGGTTTACCATGAGTTTGAGGTCAGCCTGAGCTACATGCATAGTGAGTTCAAGGTGAGCCTGAATTGTACAGTAAGACCCTGTCTCAAAAATAAAATAAAACAAACAAAAGGTTCAGAGAGGTTTGGATGAGGCCCCACACTGACCATTTGGTTCAGCCTGTTGGGGATGGGTGGAGGGAGCTGTTTCTGACTAGTGCAGCAAAAGCTTTTTCGTTGTTTTTAAAGATGTCAACTGCCTATGGCCTTGCAGGAAGTGTAGGTTCATATGCCCATCTGGGAGGACCTAGCACTCCACTTGCAGGCAACACTAATGCTTCCTGGGTTTTAGTTTCGCTTCTCTCTTAATTCTTCCTCTAGCCTTTGTCAGGACTTAAAGACTGCAAATGGTCCTGAGTCAGCACAGCTATTTGGAAGTTGGACTCAGCAACCCTACTTGAGTAATGGCTCAGGTAACTTAGGATGCCCAGATTCCTTCTGGGAGCTTTCTCACTGGCATTCCAAGGAAGACCCAAGCTACATTATTTTTAAAAATATTTTTTATGAATACGTGTTTGCCGTACCTAATATTTACATTCATTTTAGGGAATAGGTACATGTTTTTAACATATCTTGATTCTTTTTATTCCTTCCTCCCCTCTCTCCATCTCTAGATCCCCTTCCCCTCTTTCCATTTGTTTATAGCTCATATTTGTGACACATAATGATTACACTCATTCTGGGTAGTTTTTACAAATACACGGCACATCTTTAATCATTTTTATATCCCATTCCCTACCTCATCCCCCTACTCTTCAGCTCTTGATCCCCCCTTCCTGTTTGCAAAAGATCTATCTCAAAAAAAAAAATCTATCTCCTTGGTATTTTTTTTGTAATCATTCTATTTTACTCTTCATTTTATTTGTACTTTGGATTTCTCATATGAGAGAAACCATATGATATTTAAGCTTGTATGTCTGATTTATTTCACTTAACATTATGTTTTCAAGATGCATTTGTTTTCCAACAAATATCTCAAACTTATCCTTCTTTATGGCCAAGTAGTATTCCATTGTGTATAGATTACATATTTTCTTTACCCCTTCATCTGTTGATGGACATATAGGCGGCTTCCAAGATTTACCTATTGTGAATTGTGTTGCTATGAACATGGGTATCCATGTCTCACTGTAATACGATCTTTTGAGAAGACATCAGGAAGGAGAATACCTGGGTCAAATGGAATTTCTAGCTCTAAGTTTTTGAGACATCTCCATACTGATTTCCTTAGTGGTGGGTACTAGTTTACATTCTACCAGCAACATAGGATAGGAGGGTTCCTTTTCACCACAGCCCTGCCAGCATTTGTTATTATTTGATTTCTTGATGACTGTTCTTTATGGAGTAAGATGAAATTTCACTCTTGTTTTAATTTGCATTTCTCTACTGGATAATGAAGTTGAATTTTTTTCATGTACTTATTGGCCATTTATATTCCTTCTATGAAGTGTCTATTCATTTCATTTGCCCATTTTTTGATGGGGTCTTTTATTTTGGGGGGTCTAATTTTTTAAAGTTCTTTTTGTTTTTTTCCTGTTCTGTGGGTTTTCTCTTCACTTCATTCATTGTTTCCTTTACTGTGCTGAAGCTTTTTAATTTAATAAAACCCTATATGTTGACTCTTGCTGTTATTTCTTGTGCAACTGGGGTTATATCCAGATATCCTTGCCTACACCTATGACTTCAAGAGTTTTCTCTATTTTGTCTCCCAGGAGGGTAAGTGTTTCTGTTTTAATATTTAGATCCTTGATCAATTTTTATTTTAGTATAGTACATGGTGATATATATGGGTGTCTGTTCAATTTTCTGCATGTGAATAGCCAGCTTTCCCAGCACTGTTGTGAAAGAGGATATATCTTCGGCTTCTTTGTCAAAGATCAGGTGGTGAATGTGTCTAGGGTTGTTTCTGTGTTCTCTATTCCATTTCCTTGATCCACATGCCTGTTGTGCTACATCATTTCTTATAAAAAATATTGCAGGAGAGAACAATGTCTTCTCTCTGCTTTTCCTTCTAATACCTTAAAATCTTCTAAGAGACTGTAGGATTTATGTCTCCCCCTCCCATAAAAATTTACTTTCAATTACTCCGTGGAATTGATAGCAAACTCTCTTCCATTCCTTGGTGCATAAACCTGTTTGACTGTGTT